TACCATTTAGGAAATGATCAACAAATTATATCTTAAAAAGTATTTAGCTAATAATTTATATCATATGATATATATCACATGACCTAATAATTAAATTTAAAGCTAGTTTTTTGTTTATTTTGATTTTTTAATTTATTCAAAAAAATTTTTTAGTCTTAGAGTCCCATTTTCCTAGCAAACCTCCCATTTAGTAAATGCATTATATCCAAATAATATTAGAGTATCAATAAATATTATATAGTAGTATTGTTACTATCTGAAACTAAAATTCTATAATTTAGAATTATTAAAACTAATTTAGCTAAATGTAAAACTGGTTTAGTAACTACCAAAACTAATTAATTTTTAATAGTTTAGAATAGCATTTTTAGAAGAAAGTTTTTAAGTTTATTAATAAATTGAGCTTAAATATTGATATTAATATGCTTAAAAAGTAATATATAACTTCATAAGAAAATGATTATTTAAGTTGATTTATATCAAATTAGAAATTATATTTTTTTATCATAAATTATATTTATTATTTTATTTTTATTTTTAAAAAAACATTTTTACTTAAAACTTTAAATAAATAAAAAATTAATAAATAGCCTATACATTTTTACTTTATTAAGTTTAAATTTTTTACCTAATAATTCATTTGTTATAGATTTTCATCTGCTGATTAACTAATATTGTAAATAGATGTAAATCTAAGATTCTCACCTAAAATGTTATCTAGTTATTACATAATCGGTAATATTAAATCGGTAAAAATACCTATGGAAATAAATTTTGAAAATTATTCCTAAAATATATTTTATATTAATTTAATTTAAATTTTTTTTTTTTTATGTTGAGAAATATTTACTGCTCTTTTTCATATTTATTGATGATTACTCATCCTATATTATTTCATGCATGATGCGGAAGAAAATTTTTTTTTTCCTTCTAATAAATCGAAGATTGTCAAAATTAATTAATTAAATTAATAATCAATCGGTATTTTATAATTAGAGAAAAAAATTTTTTTTTTTTTCAGCTAATTTTATAAATTAGGAGAATATTTGATTTAATTTTTTTTTCTTTTTTAAATTAAAATGATATGAATCTTTATGAATCCTTTATAAATGGTGATACTTTCAATGAACCATTTCTGACGAAAATCGACGTGACGCAAGAAAATATCTATTTATTTTTGTTTGAGATTTATTATGTTTCTATATTATTACAGTTTAAAAATTTTGTTATGATGATTGATAGTAACTCAAAAATAAATAAAAAAAAATGTAACATCTTTTCAGGTTTCAAATATAAAGAATAAAAATGTCGTCGATCCCGTTTTTAAGAAGTAAATCAATAGAAAATCGTATGCAGTATATGTAAGAATGCAGATTTACGAAAGCAATTAGTGATTGTAAATTTTAATTAAAGAAAAGAAGTGATTGTTGAAAAAGTAATTAAAATAAGATTTGAAACTCGGAAGTATTAATACGTGTAACCATCTATGATGAATTAACAAAGATATTGGGATTTTCTTAATATATAAAAAAAAAAGATTATCTTGAACGAATTTTTTTTTTGAAAACCTTTTTTTTTGTTATTGACGTAATTTGACGTACTAAGAAAGAAGGTTCATCAAAAAAAATAAAAAATATGCTTAAATGTAATAATAACGAGGAAATGTGGGTAATATCAATATGGATCCTTGTTAGGAAAATTAGGATCCAGAGGATCCACCAATCAGATTTTTTGAAAGAATCATTCAGACAAATCAACTGATTTAAAATGAAAATCAATTAGGATAGGTCGTGGGAAGTTAATCTTGAATGGACCCCTTTGGATAATCAAATTGAACAGCTGACCTGCGATAATCAGAATCAAAAGTCGAAGGGAATGAATCATGGAAGAAACCGTTGCAAGATGTTGGAATTAAACCACATATAGTAAATGTTTCACTACATAAAGAATAAGAAAGAATATAGCCAAAAGGTCAAAAAAAAATTGACAAGGTTTAATTAAAAATAGAATAGGCGTTCATTGAGGAGTTCCCAAGAATTTTTTTTTTTTTTAACGCCATAATTTTTTTATATGCACTTATTATTTATTTACAAGAAATTGTTGGAAGAATGGCCAAATAAGGATGATTAATATGTTCTTTTACCTTCTTTTTTAATATTAACTTTAAAGCTTTCGATCGACGATCGACTAAAAGAAACAAAGTAACACTAACATTTTATTATAGTATATAAATGATAAATATGGATAACTAGAGGAAAAAAAAAAAATTTAAATAAATATAAAAGCCCTTTTTTTTTTTTTTTTGCTCTCGTTTCCCTTTTAGCATTAATTCTTTCAATTTATTTTTTCAACTTTAACTTAAAAATTTCTCGTTTTATTTTTTTCGACTTCTCGTCTCATTTAATATATCTTTTCTTGTGTATTTAATTATCCAGTCACTCGAGTATAATTATTTCCCCAAAGAAATAGAAATATTGATGCAAATTGTTTGTAAAACTATTCTTTTACTCTTTTAAATTAATAAACCCTCTAAAATAAGGTGTTTTTTGACAAATCACCTAAGGAAAATAATACTTGAAATGACATCGATTTCTGAATCTTCAACCTTATTCGATATAAGTAATCATTGTCCTCATAGAACAACCAACATGGATTGTAACAATAGCACCAATAATCCTTCTACCGGTGTCGATGTTCGACGAACTTCCTTGCAATTTATATTAAATCAAAATCAAGATCTCAATAGTACTTACGATTATTGGGATTTTCATAACAATGAAGAAGGTGATGATGATGATGAATATAACTTGAATTATTCCGATAACTATAATAACGATAATTATTATGATCCATGTTATCCGGATTCTCACTTTGATTCTGTTCACCAGTTTAAATCGGAATATTTTCAATATTCATCGCCTATTCAACAATATTCTTCTCATGGTAAAATAGTTCCTCCTCCTCCTCCGCCAATGGAAATGGATATTTTGGAAGATGATCAAATGCTTTCTTCTGATGAATTCAATTCTATATTTGAATCTTTTGCTACTGTTGTTGAAGGTCAAAGTCCGAATAACAACAACAATATAAATTATTTTAATGAAGATGGTTGTTTAAATTACAGTAATGGTTTATTGGAGGACGAACAGTTGGCCAAAGCTTTGAGTGTTATCGCCATGATCTGAATTGGAACTTACGAAACAATTTATTTGTTTGATTTGATTTGTTAAAGTTGCTTTATGTTATTTTGACGAAAAATCAAATTTATTTTACGATAATTTAATGATTCATTTGATTTTTTTTTAAAAAAAAAAAATTTAAAATAAAAAATAAATAAAAAAATAATAATAAACTTGAAATTTCATTTTCGAGGACGGATAATTAAATAAACGAGAAAGAATAATCATGAGAAGAAATTAATAACGAGAAATTCAATACATTCATTTATTCATACTTAATTCAATTTAGAGGTTTATATTAGTTATTTTTGTAAATAGAATAGTTTTAATTTAATTCACTTTTTGCATTGATACTTTTCTTTTCGAATGATAATAATAAAAAAAGATCTAAAAAAAAAAAATTGGTTGGCTCTTTTTTTTATATTGTGGTTAAGATAAAGCGTTGGTATTTTAAAGAAAAAAATTTGCATATGAATCTATCTCAAAAAATTTTACTAGACCTTTGATTAAATTTATCACTACACCAAAAGACGTGGCGCAATATATTTTGTTAGACGAGTCACGAGAATAAATGATTTTAAATTAGGTGGACTTTATTAAAAAAATTTTCCATCTTAATGAAAACCCCTCCTGTTCTTTTAGATGTGACCATGACAAATTAATTTCTAAATTTTTGTCCGATAAATAATAGAACGATTATATATACATATACTTATTATATATCGTAATGCGAAATCTCCACAACCGAAGATTCAGAAGACTATTATTGTTGAATCGCATCAAGAAGAGTCAAAGGATACACTTTTTTTTTTTAAAAAAAAAAAAAATTAGATACTGCTCCCAAAAAGAGAAATCAGAGAAATCAAGGAAAGATCTTTCAATGAAGAAAGGGACGTAAAAAGTAATAATCTGATATTGCTTTATCATGTAAATTTATCAATTAAGATCTTCCCATTTTCATTCCAAAGTATCATTACTTGACTTTTTTGAAAGGTGCACGATCACTAAATAGTTTTTTTCCTCCGGATCTACCATATCATTACCTTATCATTTGTAATGAAATAATAACTCTCTTCCCATTTTTTTTTTTTTTATGAATATCATCTTATCAACCTTCTTAATCTATGACCACCCATTTTTCGATTAGACCGCGTATGACGCCCTTTAACCCTTCATTTTTTTTTTTTAACTACTAATAGGATAAAGCGATTACATGTGCAACGCGTCTTTCATTACTAGATGATCATAAATTAATTTATAATTTGAAACCAAAAAAAGAATCATAATAATGATAAATTTACCAAAATAAGAAAATTCCTAAATAAAGAACCAAACAAAAAACTTTAATAAAAGACACTATTTTATTTTCAATAAGGGTAATTGTACGAATAAGGGTATAAACATAAAATGGCGCCATTTACTGGACAAAAGTGACTTCTATGCGGCGCGAATCAACTAATGTACGAATGAAAAAAATGTCGTAAGATTTCTTTTTTTATTATTGTTATTATTATTTTAGTAGGGAGCCGGAAAACCAAAATGAAATAGAGAGTTAATGCTAAATTAGGATGTTTCATTCCGAAAAAACATTGGACAAAAGTCTTTTTTTTTTAATATCTAACGAATTTCGGCTAATTGATAAATTTTATTATGCATGGGTAATGCACATTATCATTGTGATTTTGTGATTTATGTACGATTGGATTATAATTTTAGAATCGGTTTTTGCGTTTGGCTGATTTCAATGTACCCCATCCTATTACAAGTAGAGAACCACATAAACCTTTTTTTTAAAAAAAAAGGAGTTAGGTTTGTCTGCACTTTATCTTGTTTATCATCCCCATGAGTTGTGAAATAAATGGCTTTTTTCAATTGTCGAATAATCTAGATCTGATTACGTACAGCAAACAAACAAATTTTTTTTTGTTCCTAAAAGGTTTTAAGGTTACTAATTTAAAAAAGTTTAGCTCCCCCCTTTTTCCTGAATGTTACATGCTTGCTTCCCGGTTGTCAAACTCGAGATAAGTGATCAACTAACCGTTTATGTAGAAAGTTGGCCGTGAGATTCTCTTAGAAAAAAGTCTTGACAAGTATTGATCTAGTCTATTTTAGATTACAAAAAAAGCTTGGGCTTACCTGAAATAAAAATGGATGTGCATAAAACATAAATAAATTGTAACAAGTATTGATGAGTCATCACATGTATACACAAAATATATTAATTAACAATAGTTATTTTTATAATCGAAAAAAAAAAACCTCCCATTTTATTTATTACAATCGACATGTTTTTGCCAATCCGTGCCAAGAATTTAAAAAATCTCAGCCATCAGCATCCCTAATTCATCCTATTGAACGATTTTTTAAAAATAAAAATTTCGTTTTCAATATAAAAACCCTCAACTTTCTTTCAAGTTTCTTCAAACAAATTTACAATAGTTTTAAAAAAAATATTTTAAATCATACGCAATTTGTTCAAATTTTTATCAAAACTCATTTCCATTTCCATTATTATTTACGACTTTTTAATTTATTTTAAATCACTTTCTAACGAAAACCCCTCTCCTCCACAAAATCAACAAGCAATCTTTCAACCTTTTTTTTCTTCCAGGGAAAATCTTTTTTAAAAAAAAATGTCTATTACCAACACTTCCAACACTCAAACTCTCCAAAAATACATTTCTCTCGATCAAGGCGGTAAGGTCCAAGCCGAATACATTTGGATTGACGGCGATAGCGGTCTCCGTTCAAAGACCACTACTCTTGATTTCAAACCTACCGACGTTTCCGAGTTAAAAGAGTGGAATTTCGATGGTTCTTCCACCAATCAAGCCCCTGGCGACAACTCTGATGTTTTGTTGAAGCCCGTTGCCATATTTAAGGATCCTTTCCGTGGTGGTGACAACATCTTGGTGTTAAATGAATGTTACAATAACGATGGAACTCCCAACAGGACAAACTATCGACATTCTTGCGCCAAAATTATGAAAACCTATGCTGATTCTATACCATGGTTTGGTATTGAACAAGAATATACCTTATTTGATATGAACGGTTCTGTACTTGGTTGGCCAAAAGGGGGTTTCCCAGGTCCTCAAGGACCTTATTATTGTTCCATCGGTGCAAATGTTGCTTTCGGACGTGATGTTGTTGAAGCTCATTATCGTGCATGTCTCTACGCCGGAATAAATATATCGGGTGTAAATGCAGAAGTAATGCCCGGACAATGGGAATTCCAAGTTGGTCCTTGTGAAGGAATTGACATGGGCGATCATCTTTGGGTAGCAAGATACCTCTTACAACGCGTTGCCGAAGATTTCGGTATCGTCGTATCTTTCCATCCTAAACCAATAAAAGGTGATTGGAACGGTGCCGGTTGTCATACAAATTATTCAACAAAAGCAATGCGAGAAGCGGGAGGAATAAAAGCAATACACGAGGCTATCGATAAGATGGCAGCGCGTCATATGGAGCATATTGCTGTTTATGGTGAAGATAACGATTTACGTCTAACGGGTAACCATGAGACCGGTCACATATCGCAATTCTCATATGGTGTAGCCAATCGCGGTGCCTCAATTCGTATTCCGAGACATGTTGCCGCCGAAGGGAAAGGGTATTTGGAAGACAGACGTCCGGCATCTAATATTGATGCTTACCGTGTCACTCAAGTTATTGTGGAATCTTCTCTCGCATAAAAAAAAAAAAAAAAAACATTGGGAGAAAAAAAAATTTTAAGTGTGAAATTAACTTTTCTACATTTAGTATTTTATCAATTTTCAATTAGGTTAAACGGATATTATATTTTATATTTTGGAAATGGGTTTTATAAATATGGCAAAAAAATTAAAAAAAAAATTTTCTTTTCATATCATTATATATCTCTATTTTGAGGTTTTTATTTTTATCACTATTTTTTTATAATAATAATAATAAAAAAGCATGTCGAGTCGAACTTTTTTTTAACAATAAAAAAAAATAATCCCACTCTTCTTCCCTCCATTCCTTTTTTTTTCTTTTTCTTTTTCTTTTTCTTTTCTTATTATCCTTTTACCATTATTCCTCTTTCTCTTACACATTAAAGGAGGAGGATTCTTTACTTTGAGAAGAAAAGGAGCGTAGGAGATAAAAAAAGATAATGTTTATACCAAAATTTTTTTTTTTAACATTGGGTTTCTCTTTTTTTGAGAAATAGAGGGGAGGATGTGTATTTTATAAATGAATAATATGCGTTTATTTTTTTCGACTTCGGCAAATAGTTATTATTTTAACGCATACTCAAAACAGATCATATATAATTGAATTGAAAAGAAGTAAGAACAAGCGTCTTATTCAACGCAATCAAACAAAAAAAAAAAAAATTCTCTTTCAAGTTAATTCTTTATCGAGAAAAGTAATTTTTATTAATGTAAATTTTTTTATATAACCTTGTAAATTTTTTGTAATTAATTTTGCATATATGATGAAATTTAATTGCATTATGAAATTTAGTATATATTTTCAGCAATTACGCTTACCCTTTACTTTTTATAAGGCTTTCTTATGAATTTTTCTTTTTTCTTTTGGAAAATGAAAAAAATTAAAAATTTAAATAACAAGTTTTTTAATAACTATATAGTAAATAGTTTTTCTTTTTTTTTAAAAAAAAAGAATAATTTGTAAAAACAAAAAAAAAGTTTTTTTTTTAAAAAATATATTAGGATTAATAAAATTGTAAAAGGAAGACTCATGAAAAATAATTATCGTTACCTTTTGTTCTTTGTGATATGAAATATAATGTTCGCCCGAAAAAAAAAAAAAAAATTAAATCAAATAAAACATAACAATAATAAATTTTCACCCGTGAATTAATTATAAACTAATATTTAGTAAAAAGCAAAATAACAAATTTTGACGTTTATAAATTTTACTAATCTTTATAAAATAAAAATTGCTTTTTTACTTACTATTTATAAAAATTTAAATATTAATAATTTAATGATATATATAGCTATTTATTATTTTTC